CCCCAAAACCCCAAAACCCCAAAACCCCAAAACCCCAAAACCCCAAAACCCCTGATAATAGATTTATAATTGGACTTCTTTAAATAATTATGAATTTTCTTTATTAAGAAGGATTATTGTATGATTTTGGTAGACCCCGTCTTTTGACTGAATATGTTCTCTCTCAATTTTCTTATGCAGATAGGCTTGATGCAGGTGGAAAAAGTCATTAGGATCACTATCCTCTTTGATTAAAAATTTTAGTTCTAATTTTTGTCAGATTTGGCACTCGCAAAGCTTATATCCACTTGAAAGGAACCTCTCATAAAATTTCTTTTCATGTGCTTTCATGTCTTTAATGATTCTAGTGGCACTGGGCATCATATGATTCTGCCTTCAGGATTTCATCCATTCTGGTGTGATCCCTGAGGCATCCCTGCTTGAGGATCTATGCATAGAGGTTTCTCTATCATGATTTCTTTGAGAGTTTGGTCTCATTACTTGATTCCCGTAAATATCGTATGCAGGCTGCTGATGACCTTTAAAAAGAGTACTAAAGTTCTCAGGTGTGTATATCTGCTCGGTTTCTTTATTTTTCTACACTCATAGCATCTGTTAGGCTTTGATTTCTAGATGTTTGGGCTTTGGTAATTTCAAATGGTCCAAACTTTGGAGCCGCATTTGAATTGTCTTCCATTGAGTACCATTGCATTCTTGAGTCAGATTCATCTACTCTGTTATTTTCCTTAAGTTGATTAAAATTCTGCCTGCTATTCTCCATCATCAAAGAATTATAGGGGTCCTTTCCAGTGGGGAATCTACCACTGGAATGCATAATATCTTGGGGATAATGATTGCCTTCATTGGGTTCATTTTGACCAACACCATACACTTTCCCATTACCATTTTGACCCTGCATATATGCATTTTCGTATTCAGCCCGAGCGCCCTCTTCTTCATACTGCATGTCATCACTAGAGATTGAAGAGCCGTCTCCCGAAGCAATGTACTCTTTTTCGATAATCAGGAATGTGTCTACCTGGGTCCTACCAACAACTTTGCCGACCTTGGGTTCTGAGCTGGGACGAGTTTGCCTTCTGGCGTGGCGTTCTTTGTGTCTTGCTGTATGAAGAGTGTCTCTGCTTTGTTGCAAATATTGATTTGCAGAGATATCGTTCTTTCTTTGAGCGAACTGGTCATATGTAATAAATGTTTCATTCCAAAGAGACACTTGTTCCAGAACCCCATCGTCGTACTTCAGGCTAAATTTGTCACTAGTCTTATCATATCCGAGAACTTTGCAGTGATACCATACCCTATCATCTTCCCAATAGACTAACAATCTCGAGTTATTATCTGAAAAATAATCTGGATCATTTCTGGCTTTGTTCTGAAACTCGGTAACTATTTCTTCCACCTTTTGAGTGAACTCAATGTTTTCGAAACGGCATTTGTGGACCAATACGTTGCTCTGTTTGGATTGCGGATACGAGGCGGCAAATGGAGCCTCCATCTCATAATTTTGGAAGGGGTAAGAATTAGGTTCCATTATTTTCTAGCATTCCGTTCTTCAATTTCTGGTCGTTCCACTTTAATTCAATATTTCTGTGATTCTGACTTTGTTTATTTATAAGGTCTTCTATGTGCTCTCCCGGGTTCATATTATATTATTGTCAAAATAAACTCGATTTCAATTTATAAGGAGGTGATAGGGGTTTTGGGGTTTTGGGGTTTTGGGGTTTTGGGGTTTTGGGG